GAGAACGGCTGATAGTGATGAAATAACTGAATTACTTCTCGATTGAACTTGCTGTCAAATGAAAGCAAGAAGTAGGTGCCGTATGCCATGAAATCCGGTTCAGCAGCGATCATGCATTTAATATCGTCCTCCGGCGTAGGAACCTATGGCTCATAATTGCACCCGCTTCTGAAGCATCATTGGTGATATGACAATAACAATTCCGAAAACTGTTTGTAAGAACCACGCAGGCATAAAATATTTCATTAAACAGGATCTGTTAACTGTCTAAGGTTTTACCAGACACGTTTGGATTAAACTTCACTTCGTGTGGTTGTTGTCGAAATCCATTTCAGAGTTGTTGTCGAAATCTGGTAGTCAGTCTCATGCATTACTCTGCCAGTGAATCAAATTACATATGGTTCAGTTAGCATAACTTAAATGCGATAAAGCCTTACTGGCAGAACTTAGATTCAATGAAGCCATGGTTTGTTTAAATGAGTCCTAGGCATTTTTGAATAAGGGGACAATTTCCTATGGTGTAAATCATCTTATCCGTCTCTTAGATGCTATAATCTGACTCTTCAGCTTACGCGCCTTCGGTATTTGACCCATTTACAGTACGATCGTATTCCCTAAGAAGTAACATGGAACATTCGTAAGTCACAAATTCAGGGAAACGTCAAGGAAACTAAATGCATCGCGCTATATCAGAGCTCATTGTTATCAAAACTTGTCATCCGCATAGAAATAACCTTAAGGGAAGGTAGCAAATGCTAGCTTGTAACGAATTAATTTCGTTCTGAGCCATGGACTGTCGATTAGTCATGTTGAAACTTAAATATTATTACAAGCGTTGGCAAACAAGAATTTTGATAAACACTCTGGCATGGCGTTGCCTCTGGAAAAAATGTCTGTCTTCCTGTTTGATGATTGTAGTTGCAAACTTGAGTTTTGCTTGACGAAATGCACAATATTTTCATATCGAGCCATCAGCTGACATGGTCTACTCATCGGCGTGTCCAGATTGATGCCAGGTCCCAATTAGCGTCAGAGACCTCAACCAGACCAGCAAACATGTACGCATCCTCTCATTCATCAGCCCGCCCGTATACGTTTCTTGGGCATATCCTCTTTCCAAAGGTAAGGATCTGGTATGCTGACTGCTTCTACCAACGTTATTCAGTCTATTAAGGGCAATCACGCTGAAGTCCTGCCGCTGATATAAGTAAGACCACGTATGACAACTTTTGCTTCTCTCAAATTTTCATGAACCGATGAAGGCGTTCCGTAGGTCCTGGCAGAGGTGGCACTTTGCGAATACAACGACCCCATTGTCAAAGTGATCATTTCTAGAGTATCCGACCTTTGAAAGAGAACTTACCATGAAATTATTGCCTGCCATTCTCTGAGTGCGCTTCAGTGAAAATGTTTACAGAAAACTCCATATCTCAGAACGTGGCGACATATCGGAACACTAGCAAGGACTCACTATCACTGCTATCCCAAAACGACGGCTTTTCAATAAACGTTTTAGATTTGAGTTGTTCCCATGAGAATTTGGTTGCGTGGGCAGGTGCCGGTCCAGATAGCCTGCCTTGCGCTTACATTTCTGTTTGGCATAACGTGACACCATGCATCATAGATTTATTGGAAGATTGTACAACCAATCAAATTTATCGTAACAGGGTGGTAATTAAGTGATTTGTATTTCCAGTTTCTTGACGAACCCATGTTGCAGTTCTCACCCTCTTTCCATCTACATCTGTACCCCTCCGTGGGAAGGAATCAAAATTAGGCACGCTACAGCGATGACGAAACCCTGAAGGAAAAGTATTAGATGCTTCCTATCTGATGACATAATCGCGGAATTTAGTGCCGCATCATAAGCTTTATGATGAAAGAGTTCCATAAATACTACTTAAACATGAAATAGTTAGTGCCATGATCTTATTAAGGTCAAAAACCTTTTCGAAGAGTCAGTTAACGAATAAAGGAAGTCAATTTTTTAGTCTTCGTTTTTTGATATCGGTAACAAATGTTTCGAGTGTTCTGAATACAAAGTCCATCAGTCGCCCTCGCTCTGCAGGAAAGTTTTTGCTTCGTTACCTCGCTCCACTGTAGAAGTCACCGCTTCTTGTCGTTATTTTGCATTTAAATTAGAAGACGTTTCTTAGAATGTAGCTAAGCTCATCCTCTGAATCTCCGAATTAAATTGTGTTTTTAGTCACACAATTGTTGAAAGAAAGTAACAACGTGAAAGCTTCATTAGAATTTCATTTGATCAAGCAACACTATCATCGGTGACTCACGTTCGACGATAAAACATAGCAAAGGGTTATTGGAATGTTTACAGTCAAAGATTCTTTACTCTATCTTAACGTTCCTGACACTCTGACATACATTGTTACCTACCTCGCAAAGAACTTGTTTTATTTTCAAAAGCATTAGATACTGAAACATAGTAACCCATCTTTTGCTCAAGAATATCATCACAGAAGGCCGAAACTGCCGAAACATTCATTAATTAAATTTTCACCCGTTTCTGGGGGTTGAGACATACTCTTTGTTTACGAAGAGTACGGTGAAAAAATTTTGAATTCAAGCACTGCACGTGCTGGAAAATAACTGAACCGCCATCTACGTCTCAAGATGAAATGGAGACGTACTGCTGATGCTAGTAATTTCATGTGCGAGATCTGATGGGGACTTGCTTCGAAGGAACGTTCATCATTTAATTACAAGGGTATTTACGAACGTTAGTTTTTAGTTTGATCGATGCTAAATTAATAGAACTCTTCCGTATGTTTATTCTGCTGTTTTACTCATTGCTATAATTGCTTAATCGACAGAGTGGGATGCATCGTTGCAGCAATTTTCTAGTCTATTAAATCTCCAGTGCCTATTGCATTTTATACAACTAAATTTACATTTTGCGTGTCTGCCATGCTCAAAAATAGTACTAACCGAACTATTCTAATTATCAGAAATTATTTAATCGATTGAATCTACTTGTATAGGAAATAAGATATTAGTTTTTACAGGTTATCTTAGTGAAAGCCGAGAAGCAGTACCAACGTTAACGGTGGAAAATTTCATCTGCCGTGCATAAATTGCAAAGAATATGAATAGACTGTTTTATGTTGGAATATAATTTTTGTATGCCATATCGAAAAACGGGATTACTCCGTTTATCATCAAATCAGATTATCAAAATATCATTAATTGGCATCATTTTTCAAATCGCACTCGATCCGTTATGGT